ACGTCTTGAAGCTTAAGCTTGTTGATGTAACCATCGACATGCAGAAACAAAATGAAGAACTTGCTTGTTTTCTCTCTAAATCCTCGTTTCTCAAAAAATGACTGTATGCGAGTTTTCTTGTCATAATTTCGGTTGAGAAATATATTTACGTTTGAGTTTAATGTCATTTATCTCCATGGGTAGATTGTTGAGTTTGCTTTGTGTGATGATTTCAAGTGTCTTGTTTTATTTTTGTCTTTCTTTGTTAACGTCTTCTCTCTATAAATTGGAAAATAAAGTTTATAGTTTTGTGTAGACGGTCGTTTGTTTATTTATGCCTGATACTTACTCTTTTTCAATAGGTTTTTTAATAATGATGGTTTAGGTCGCTTACGAATTACGGATATCGCCCCATTTTGCACCTCCAAAAATTGACTATTTTGGGCCATCATTGTTTTTCGACTTTTTTCTTACATTTTTCATCACTGTTTAAAATGAGCCATATAGCAATCGATAGATCTCGCTTCACTCTACAAAACTACATATACGGTTTTTCTCTCAAATCTCAATATGAAATGGAAAAATCCAAACACCGTAAGTGTTGTTTTCATGGTTTTGACGCGGGACCAAACCCTTAATTTTGCAGTATTTTGACCAAAAGTATAGGTCAATAATTGATTGCCGAAAAATTGATATCATTAAAATGTAGCCTGTTCAATTCGGCGTCGAAGCGTATATTGGACTTTCTCTGAAAACGTTCTAGGGCCGAGATAGCTAGGGTCGCAAAATGAGCCCTATCGTTAAGATTTTTCCTGTTTGTGCGCGAAATTGGGATTTTAGGTTGAGAATCCATTATGTTCTACGGTTATCATCATGAAAATCTAACGGATGAAGAGTGGGTGAGCTTGTTTGACTGAATAGACTCCTAGCTAGTAGGGGTAGCACATTTACTTTAAGTTACTTTTTCTTCTTGGGCGATTTTCGAGGAAGAAATCCGGTCTCTGGGGGCCTAAGGGCCCAAACGGATGTCATATTGAGATTCAACATAGTCGATTACGTATTGTCCACTAAATTTTGAAAACAAAGCGATTGCACACTTGGGAGCAAGATTCGAAAAAACTTGTGCATGCGTGTAACACCTTAAAAACATGTTTATAGGCTTTCATACCAGTTCTACAGCATATGTCCGCCTGCTCTATAGAAAAATGCCCACTGTGGGTAGTGACTTAAGTATTAATCGATGTTTACATGATGGAGTGGGAACTCGATAGGACGCCTTCTCTCTATAGTCTATTTTTTTCTGTTTTTCGGTTTCTCTGTTACCAAATCGTATATAAAATGCCATCCCATTGATGACAGCATCATTTTCTACACATGAGACGTTATTGTATAGAGGAGACATGTATATGTCCCAAAGCATAGAACAGAAGAGTGCACATCTACAGTCATTTGTTTTTTATTTATTAAACTGTGAGGATGAACGCTCGCCTTTTGTATGTCTTAATCTGCACTTTCTTACTGATTCATTATTAAAACAGTATAGAAATTAAATAATCTGAATGTTTAACTTACAGCTAAGCTTACTGCAATTTGCAAGGAAGGCTTTATCTTACTCTCAAAATTTGTTGTTTGCTACAATGAGAAATAACATTGTACATATGTACACACGAGCACATAAGAAAAATATATCAAAATAACTTTTTTCTGTACGCAGTTGAGAATGTATACGTCAGACGTCAACGAAATAATTCGGTGATTCGATCTTCACTTGAGGTCGCCCATCCGCTTACTAATCGTCATCCTGACGTTTAACCAAAGAAAAGACAAACTCATTGTCACAAATTCTCTATGAGTTATGCGAGTTTAGCGCGGTTACAGAAAGAAAATGATTTTCATATTTTAAACTGGACTTGATTGAATTAAATAAATTTTGTTTTACAATCGCTAACTGAAAGGCAGTGTCGAGGATTGCGCGCGTAGTAAGGACCAGTTCTAGGTTCCAAGGTTCTAGCTTTTTTGTAAAGTAAGATTTCCTCTGTTTGAAATATTGCTTCGTTGCTGAGAAATTGTGAGAAATCATCTGAAATTGAATTTGAAGGCATGACTTTCGGCAACTGGCGAAAGTCAACTGCCAAAGTGCACTGCGACGATTATCGTTTCCCATGGGCTATTGGTAGCCTTGAAGACGAATGGGTCATGGGCAATCAACGAAGCTGAGCCGCATGGCAGTACTTGATTTTCGAAAAGGTTAAAAAAAATATTAGGAGATTCACCGCTGACTCAAAAGACATCAGAACGAGTTCAAAACTTCAGAATGTCGAGCATTTAGGCTATTCGATATCCTATTTATAGGAGATCTAGGTAGATTTTACAAAACCATATCAGCGGAAAAAAAATAAAGTTGGTTTTGATTTGTTGAAAAGTGTTTTTTCGTGTTCGGCACACGCGATAACTCGGAAGATTTTCTATTTTTGGCGAGGGGTACTTCTAAAAGTTTAGGAAAAATTTTCAAACTAATATTACTTTCCCATGGAAATTTTTCTGCGTCACTTTGTTTCAAAATTTTTCCTAAACTTTTAGAAGTACGAGTGTGCTGAACACGAAAAAACACTTTTCAGCAACCCAAAATCAACTTTATTTCTCTTGTTCCGATGACATGTCTAAGATTTTCTAAGAAGACTTCTAGCAAAAATATGTTTTTTCGGTTTTTTTCATCCTATAATCACGATTGATGGACAACATTAATCGTATCTGAGGTTCTGAAGTCGTTCAGATGTTTTCTGAGTGAATAGTGAATTTTTTAATATTAGGTGAAAAGAGTTTGAAGTCCTAATCTTTGTAAAACTCGCTTTTCAGTAGATTTTCTAAAGACAAGTATTGCCATGAAACTCAGCATCCTCGATTACCTATGATCCATCCGCCTTGAAGGCTAGCAATAGCTAAGCAGTGCCGTTCCTGGGACTCGCCGAAAATCCGTTACAACGCCCGAACTGTGAAAAATCAAGGTGTCGCTCGATCCCAGCTTTCAAGAGGACATCCCGGGTTATCAATCCATGAAAAAAATCGATAAAATCCTATTGGGAAGTTTTTACACACGATCTAGTTTTCCAAAGTTCTCCTAGAAAATCTATTTCAGAACAGTCTTCTGAAAACATTTTGATTATGAAAACATGCGCTCAAGCCTCGTCTTTCGAATGGTGGAAATTGCAGCTCTCTAGCTCTTTTCTGTCAAAAGTTATTCAAAAAACAACCGATGGCCTCGTTTTTTACAGATGGTAGCTTATACTTTAAACTGTTATCTTCTAAATTTACGACTGTTCTCCTTTGAGTATATTTACGAAAAAATGTTCTCCTTCAAGAGTACATTATTTAAAAGTGTTCTCCTTTAAGGGTACATTATTTAAAAGTGTTCTCCTTTGAGATTATGTGTAAACAACTGTTCTCCTCATTCCAGAGGTAACCTCTTAAAAGATTCATCTGTATTGACATTTGCTTCACATTTGTTGTATTCTGTCTTTCTGCAGAAAAGAGAATGAAAAGAGCAGTATGAAAAATATTTTGTTTAATCAATCGCCCATAACTCAATCATTTTTTGACCAAATCAAATAATTCTTTGAGCATCAGTTTCACAAGACTTTTTTCTACTCATAAATGTAAAAAGGTACAACGTTTCCACAGTGGAATTCTGCAACGGACTGGATTAAAGCCAACATGCTTATTTTTTCGTTCAAGCATCATGCGTAGACGATTGATTACACAAAATATTTTTCGCACTGCTCTTTTCTGTAGAGTGACAGAACACAACAAACTCGTCATATTGCATGAAACATTATTTTATATGTTTGCAGTGTAGCAATGGCGATGAAAGAATTCGACACTAATTATATTTCGATCGATCGTCTCAACAATACAAACCAGTTTCAAGATGTTTTAGAATGCGCTATTTGCAAAAATATTTTGTACAAACCAGTTGCTTGTAAGTCATGCGAACATGCATTTTGTTCAAGATGCATTGAAACCTGGTTAAACAAGAATACCAGTTGTCCTAACTGTCGTGCTGAATATCAAGAACGAAAAGCTCCATCTATTTTGTTGCAGCTGCTATCGAAACTAGCTATTAGCTGTAAAAATAAAAGTAACGGATGTAAAGAATATTTGCTTTATGATGCGTTAGAAAAGCATGAACAGCAATGCGAATATGAACAGACTAAATGCCGTGGATGTGAAGGTAAAATATTGAAGAAGAACATAGATGAGCATGAGCAAGAGTGCGATGAAATTGTTGTTGAATGTACGAAATGCAAATTGGCTTATAAACGATCAGATATTAAACAGCATGATGAACTTCAGTGTTTGGAAATAAAAATGAAAAAAGTAATTAGAGATCAACAAACAATGTTTGAAGAAGCTCTTCGAAAACAGCAGGAGCTGTTTGATGACCAGTTAGAGAATAATAAAAAACAATGCGAAAACGTTTTACAGATGCTTCTTAAAAGTATAAACGGTAACACAGAACCAATGTAAAGATGAACTCAGATGTATCTCATTTTGAATGTCTTGATAAGGAAATGACGCGAGTCCTGTCAATCAGTTGCAGCAAATGGAGAGAACAATGAATGATATGATGAGAAAACAAGAAAGAAGCTTTCAAGAAAACTTGAGTACAATTGAGAATAAATTGGCAATATTAGAATACGAGGCATGTAAGTACACTTTATTTATTGTGTTTAATACCTATTATGGCTTAGCGGGTGTTAAGTCAATAATACATTTTACTAATGGCTGAGAAAAGATAATGAGTTCCCAAACGTATAACTTAATGCACTACTCGAAATATCTTCTTGAAAAAGTAAAGCGATTGGGATTTACCAGTGTAGATAATCGTTTATTTCTGCAATTCTGCTAAACTATCTCAATAGCCTACAACGACGAAATAGACAAAGTAAAAAATAAAATAGATACGACATGAGAAAGGACTGTGGTGCTATCATTTTGAAGAAATCTTCATTTTCCACTTTGAGATGTCTCGTTTATTTACAGTTTTGAAATTTGATAAAATAATTAATTTTAACAATATACCGGGAGCAACTCACCATAGTAATTCCATACCAAATGGCTACTGTGGTTTCAACTGGAAAAATGTCGCGTACATGCACGAAAGTGAAGCAAAAGACCGCTTGGATGGTTTCAAAAACGCCTTTACTAGCAGTAGTTACGTAGCATTCAATGCCGGTGGACGTTCAATGTCAATCAAAAGTGGTACACCGGTCTCTCTCCTATCAATTGTAGCTTGTGCCGTAACAAATGATAATCTCCAATTAACACTTACTGGTTCTTGTTCAGGACATCTGATGATGACCAAAGCAGTCATATTGAAAACAAACAAATCAAAAATTATTGAACTTGGCTGGAAAAATATCGATGAAGTTCATTTCGATGCGGAAGGCGGCACACCTCATACAGGCGCTAGTACTACGCGTTTTGCAATAGGACAGTTAAATTTATTCTAACATACATATTTCTTCCATAAGCTTTATTATAAAATCTAGAACAGTGATTAAACTCCGGTGGATAATATGCAGATCTCCCGAATTTTCCTTTTTGTGTTTTCCAAATTTTTTTATACTTCGAACAGAGTATATTTTTTTGGGAAAAGTTTGATCCATTAAATGAAGACCCTATATTATTTTCTAGTGACAAATAGTTCCAGTCAGATGTAGCTTCGACACAATAGGCTTCTACAACTTTCTGTAATTTTTCATAGTGTTTCTAAAAGATCTAAAGACGGCCTATCTTTATATGCATTTACCTGCATTTCGACATGTCTCGCAAAAATGGACGTTTTTTTTAGGGGGAGGCCCTAACTAGCTTGTATGAACTAAAACGCAACTTGCATAGATCAAATCATCCGGCTATACTTCCTTAGTAACTGTACAATAGAGACGAATTTTTTCAATAAAATTGAAGCTACATCTTTTAAAGGAGAATATTTCAATCGTCTTTGATTAAAATGAGCGGTTGGTTCACCTTCAAAATCCACGATTAGAAAATCATTTCCAGTAAACAAGATTTGCGCTAAATGGTAATCACCATGAATACGAATTTTAGTTACATTTATTTCTCGACTGGAGATTCTTTTCAACATAGTCATTAGTTCACTTTTCATCGACAACATTTCTTTAACTTCTTCGTGAATATTCTGCGGGATTTTTCTCAGATTTTTTTGTAAAGTTTGGAAACTGTTTCAATCACAAATTCAATGGAAGTAAATAAAGAATGCTGGTAATCTGGAGAATATTCTTCAGGGTTAAAAGAGAAAAGTTGATTGTTTGATGATAATGCATGATGCATTTGACCAGTACGATGACCTAATAAATTGATTAATTCCGATGTACTTTTATCGAATAGCTTTTTTAAATCTTCTGATATTTCTTCATAAACAAGAGGATTAGTTAAACTACCTTTTAATTCTATGTTCACTGAAGCGATGTCTTCAAGCGAAAGAACATTTCTACTAAAATCATTGAGTTGTCCTAAGATATAAACCCATCCATCACTAATATTTGGAATATATTCTTGCATCATCCCTAATACTATTGTTTCTTTGTCAAACTTATACTGAATACTACCAATATATCTCGGAATATGTTTGAAAGTTGTCTCTTCATTTAAAAACTGGTTCATTTCGACATCCGAATTAATATCACGATCAACTTTGCGATAGATTTTGAGAAAGGAATGTTTATCATAAATAATCGAAGTATTGCTTTCTTCGATTATTGATGTTTTTGATCTCGAATTTAATTGTTTGAGAACGTAGCTTTTTAAATCTGGAGTACTGATAAAGACTAGTTCACCGTTCTTTTGTTTTATTCGACAATTATTGGCCAGATTGGTAATCAAAGCTTGTTGCGATCGATGATCATATAGAGCATCGTACAAGAATCCTTCTTCATTATCGATGTTTATTAAAGATATGATCGATTGAGAACAATTCTTTCGTAGTACAGAACAAACCCCCATTTGGCTGAATGCAATTGGTAAATGATAAATATCAAGAGTGTTATCATCAAAGGATACTTCTAATAGCAGAAGGTAACCATCGTCTAATGCAGTGAAGTGTATTATGGCATAATCAATCATCTGGATGCTCTTCAAACCACGTCCTTTTCCTCCAAACCAACGCATTTTCGTCATATAATTTGGAAAGATTTCATTTTGGAGTTTTTCTAGAATTTGTTTGTCTTCCACTATGTCTTTCCATTGTCGTAGTTTGATTACACTTAGTTGTTCGTTACTATTCATTTATCAATTGGTATTTTTAAATAATGACCTTTGAATTGATTTAATTCCTAAGATGAAGAATAAACTGGATACTTTAGAAAATAATTCTAGCTATTCATTTCCACAGAGAGTTAAAAACATAAAATTATAAAAACAAAAAATTTTAGAGTTAAAAACAATCAGAACTTACAGAAACAATCTGAACAATGGAAACGAGAAGAAGAAAATATCCAATGGAGTCGAAAGGGATGACGAGAAAAATATATTATATTCCGAATGAAACAAGACATATCTATTATTCTAACGGTTTCTTGATCAGATTATATCGATAATTGATCTTACTTTATCGAGGACACTTTTTGATCAATTTGAAAAGACTTTAAAAAGAAATTGAGTATGGATATTCAAACAACGATATCAAAATCATTTATTTTCTATATACATCAATATGATATAACAAGTACCGTTCATCGGATTCCGATTCACACTTCCCTAGACTGACGTCTAATTCAGCCTCTACTAATCGATGTACATTTCTTCCTTTCGAGATCGACGAGGGATTTCAACTCTCACACGATGTTTTTCAGCACTCAAGGTCCAACTTTTTCGTACGGTATAGGCTACGTAACCACTCCCCTGGAATAACACGAAGACAATGATGGACCTTTCATGCATTGAAATGAAATCAACCATCAACCGAGAGAAGGATTAAGGTTTCAAAAGCGGATGCTAGACAGACAGAGAGGCAGTGAACACAAATCATTCACAGCATTCCACATTCGAACGAGCAAGCGAACAAAAGGTGCGAAAGTGATCAATAAAGAGAGATTATTTTTCATCTAATGTATTAAAAACCTTCACTCTCAATGAACCAACAACGGATTCTCCTGTGGTTTTAAAACGGGTTGCAGACAGACAGGCGGTCAGACAAAAGCATTATTTACAGTCTGACAGAGCCTATCCTTTCAGTCTGGGGAAATTGTACAGTTACTAAGGAAGTGATCATAGCCGGATGATTTGATCTATGCAAGTTGCGTTTTAGTTCATACAAACTACTTAGGGCCTCCTCCTAAAAAAAGGTCCATTTTTGCGAGACATATCGAAATGCAGGCAAATGCATTTTTGCGAGTGATTGAGAGATGACATATACCTAACCAATTGCAAAAAAGAAATTTTTGACATCCGAATTCACCTCCTACTCAACGGTTATCCATCTAATTTCATTGACGCCCATTTCGACCGCTTTGCCAAAGATCTCCGTCTCCGTAATCTTGAATCCCTCTTCCAGAACCAAAGCAAATATGAATACTGTCGCACAAATGTTAGAGATCAGAATTGGACAAGCCACCGACCACTCCGAAAACAAATGGACCCGAAAAAAGATTTGCTCCTTCACTGTTCATATGTACCTTCTATTTCACGCTTTCGATCAAAATTCTACCAAATGTGGATTGAAACATTTGAAGACACACCTCTTACAGATGTCCATCCAATTTTTCCCAACCGACTGACCGAAAACTTAACCCAAATGCTTGTCCGTAAGAAACCATCGAAACAAATTCTCAGACCCCCACCAGAGAAAGTTTAAAAAACATATTAGGATGTGTGCGCTGGCGAAATTTTTCTTTCTAATCTTAGATGACCAACCAAAAAAATCTTCTACATCAAATGCCATGCACTGCGGTAATAAATAACAGGTATGTCAACGCAAAGATTGATTCAATACAACTTGGGTACAATGTAGCATCAAATAGTAATAAATATACACACTCTAGTAACTGTTTATTCATTTATTCTAAAAGAAGGAGGTAAATAGTATGGTTTTTCCTCCTGCTTTTTATCGTTATCTTCATTATTTATTGCAAGAAAGGCCTTTTAAACACACTCCTACTTGTTATGCCTGGGAGGCATTTTGCACTGTTACAATGTCAAAATGTTGTTTTTGATGCTGAATCTGAAGAAAACAGTTTTGAAATTCGATTGAAACGAAAAAATTGAAGATTCGTCGGTTATCGAAATTTGACCCTTTTTCAGAAAAAGTAGACCATCTCAAAAAAAGCAGACTAGTAACCTACTCTGTCGCGTCATTTCAGTGACCTAGCCGGGCTGGCCGGTCGGCCGGTCATGCATTTTACTGGGAACTGTCCAAGATCAGATACACATTCAGTGAAAAAATTAATTTTAAACCGGTATTATTACCACTACTATATTATTGTATTGAAAAATATTGAGGAAGAAAAAGAAGAAGAACAAAAGGAAAGGGAAAAACAAAAGAACAAAAAATGGCAGCAGCAGGAGAACGTCATGATCAATTGATTGACGATGACGTTCAGAGAAGCGAACTGGTTCTCCTCAGATCTCCTGAAAAACCGATCTTTGCAATTTTTCCAAACTCGTTTTTGCTTATGAAAAACTAGCCTCAGATCTTGACTAGCGAATGATGTAAGCCACAAGTCTCTATCTTTTCTTCCTCTTGAGTTATTCAAAACATAACCACTGACCTTGTATTTTAGCGCCGATCGTAGTGCAACAAACATTAAAAAAGAAGGAAAAACGAACAGAATATTCACATAGTAGAGATTGACGAAGATCTAAAGCCTCAACGGATTTCCACGGGAGAGGCCAGGCACATCGCCACAGATCACCGAAGATGGAAGCAAATCGTGAATGACTCGAGTCAACCAGCGGCACCGACAGCATCGTATTGGTTACGGGGAAGACCTGCTTATCAGGCGCCAGCTACGGAATAAAGAAGAAGAAGATAGTAGAGATTATCAGTTCTGTTCTCGAAGACTGTTGACGAAAAAGAGAAAACCAAACTAACTTTCTTAATCTGAAATATGAAAACCTTTGTTTTACTTAGCTAGCAAATTCGTTTTCGACAAAGTACTGGTTTTTCAGACGGGCCGGTCAAAGTGGTCAATTTCGCTTCTAAAACTGGACCGAACATGTGTATTCGGTTTCACATACAACCTACGTTGTAAAAAGATATCTGTCAACAACAGTTGCCGAAAATGGCCGTCGCCGATTTATCTTTTTCTTTCCTTTCTCGCTTTCCGTTGCTACCGGCTATCAGAACGATGCACACATCTTATAATAAAAAATTTATTAACTTTTGACAGAAATCTGTTAAAAAGCTGAAATGGTATATAATTAAGCCAATATACTGAACCTGGTTGGACTGGCTCTAGACTTTTACAGCTCTTTCGGAAATTTCAATCAAACTTATAGGTTGCCGTATCAAAATTGGATTCAGACATAGGAATGAAACTCATGACCATCAAAACATTACTATAGTCGGCTTAATTTCTTAATTTTTAAGATTCAACAATAGCAGTATATTCTGTTGATTATAAAAAAAACCGGGACGATTACATCAAAAAGATTAAGAAATTAGCAGAGCGAGATAATAAAAAAGAATATTTATGGAACATTTATAAAGTAAAGAACATCAATATAGCCGTTGAAGATTTTATCAAGTTCGATAATAGGAGAAATAATAATGAACCACCATATTTTCGTGTCATAGAACCAAAAGAATCAATACAAATTATCATCCTTCTCCAGAATCCCGTTAACAAGGACTGCGTTGTTTGTGAATACGGATCCAACAACAAACTGGCTTTCACATTTGAAGTATTACGTGATGTATTTTTGAACTTAGCAAATGATGTGATAAACAGAGTGGCAGTTACTGATTCAGTCAATGTTGCAGTGAAATATGATAGTAATTGTAAGTATTTTAATTCTCAGGGGTGCTCGAAAAGTGTCTGAGATAAATCAAAAAAAGATTTTTGTTTTCTCGTATCGATTTTCAGATTCTCCATTCGAAATTACTCAAAAATTTCAATTTTTCGCCTTTGGAAACATTCCCCGGATGCACACTAAAATTTTCCAAAAAGGGTCTTGAAAAACATACATAAAACGCTGGTGTTTTCATATTTTGATTATTTTCCTTCCGAACCTCATGAAGTTAATATATATCAATAGAGCGAAAAAATTCTGAATCCAAAACAGGTTATTTTAAAGTCTAAGAAATGAGAAAATCCATCGGTTTAAGGGGCAGTAACTACCCCCAAACCTATCCTCAAATTATGCCAGTTTGTAGAGCGCGTTGAGTACTATATATCTTCAAGAAATTTTGAAATATCAACAGTTCTATTTATTCTTTTTACTAGTGGCATCTTTTCCGCAATCCTATAATGTCGAAGAAGTTAAGTCTTCTTTCACAAGGCTTACCATTTGAAATGATTTAGCTAAAGAGAATAAAACTAAGGAATCATTCACACTAACCTCTTAGAACTTGACAAAAGTGAGGTCGTTAAAGACAAAGTTTTTACGTGGTGTAAACAAAGAAAAAATTGCTGAACTAGTTCCTTTCTCACCCCTTTCGCCCTTTAGGGATTGTTCTGTCAATTTACTGGGCTTTTTTTCTACATTTTGTAGGCTCAAGATTTTCAAGTCGATATATTTTAAGTTACTTGTGTCCGAAAAGTAATTGTGTTGCCGAAAAGCCTTTTCGGGACCTGTGGATTTTCTCCCCCGCACAGAAAGTGCAAGTAATTTACTGTTTACTGTATTATCAGTGTTTTCGCTCACCGCACATGACATCTTCCATTTTCCTGTTCTTCCTATTCACAGACACTTACTCACTTACATTTAGACCATTTCACATATTTGTTCCATTTTCTTTTTTCTTTTTAAATTTTTATTGCGTACTTACTATTTCTCTATCTTCAATGTTTTTTTTTATCATGCTCACACACATCTTCCTCATATGAGAATCGTGGACCTACAATGCCATTTGGCGATTGGTCTACTAATAAATGCGTTTAAATCAAGTGCAAGTATAGAATTATTTGTTATCTATCTTTTGTTTTGTTTGTGGAAAAGATTTTATTTGCTAAAAACGATAACCTTATTTTGTATTTAGAGCTTGGGTGATTTGATCTCTACGATCTAGGTCCTGCTTCTTCTGCTGTCGCTCACTCCATTGAGACGCAGAACACATATAAGAAACT